CTTACATATACATAGCACGCTACATGCACACTTCACATAGACGCATAAACATATTTTTGGCACTAACGGAACCTCTTAGTAAAGCATGATAAAATGAGGCACAAGCTAGAATCTCAGTTACCGAGGACATGGTGAATTAAAAAAATTTAAAAAATACAACTGGACTTTTGTTCTGTAATTAAAGAGGAGTATGGGACACAAAACATCTTCAATTACAGAACAGAAGTCTGTTTGTTTAGTTTTAAAACATTTTTCTGTGGGTTTGCACACATGGTCCAAACTTTGGACACATAAGTAAACTTATATTCTGGAGCATAAGACAGATCTCGAACCGAAGAGCATTTTGAACATATTTGTTGACCCGCCTTTATCCACCCAGCCATACTTAATTAGCCGCATACACAGAAAGTATTTCCTCTGCGGTTATTTTCAAACCACTCCTTAAAAAACATGAAAATCCTGAGCCAGTTTTATTTACCACAAACATTTATTTAATGGCATAAATTTACAGGGCACATAACTTCGCAAACTTTGCCCTGAATGTTTCAATTCCTGAATGAGCAATTAGTCACTGAAAGCTCAACAACACCGACGTTCATCATTGGAATAAATTGGGTCTGACTCCAGGCTGACAGTCAGACGGGGTTTTATAGTGAGAAGTCTCTTTCGTATTATAAAATTATGAATGCCATGTTTAAAAAAATCCTTTATTTGTCTTTATAATAGCTAGTGGGGTATTTGAAGGGAAATGGCACTCTGTCACATGCAGATTTGGGTATTTGGTCCTGCAGTTATTTTCTTACATTTTCATCAAAGATAAAAACCACCTTTTGTTCAAGTGCTTCGTTTTTTTTAATCTCATGGTGCATAAAACTTTGTGCAAATGTGCAGAGTCTCTTTAAATATTTGCTGTCAGACTTTATTAGAGTTCTTTAGAGGAGTTTTGTGTTGTTTTCTCCCAGGAGGAGAATTATTTCAGGTCTCAGAGGATAAAAGGAAGAAAACGGCTATAAATGTTTCTTCGGTTCAAAGAACGGCATTTTTAAGAAAGATACATTTACAAACCCTGACACACAAGACCTCTTAGACCTTGTTGGGTCTAGAATGAGCCTTTAGCAGACGGGTTGAGTTCAGATGGGTGAACACAGGACTGAGGGAATTGAGCACATGGAGAATATCGTCACTCAGACCATCTTCGGAGGCGGCCTGGACCACTTTTATTAATGTGTTTGGTCGTCTGAACACAGTCTGTGCTGATCCTTGATGTAGAACCTCCTGCTGAACTGAAGTGACCTCTCACAGGAACAAGAGCGCACGTTAGCCCCGCAAAATGTCTGCTCAACAGCTGAGTGATTCTGGATAATTAAACAGGCATCTTTGGGGATATTTAACATTCAATTCAATTCAATTCAAAAATACTTTATTAATCCCAGAGGGAAATTATTTGTTGATGTAACTCGTTATCCTCATTTCATTAAGAGATGTTATAGATGCTGATGGTTGTAGACAGGAAGGATCTCTTGTAAAAGTCCATCCCACAGTGGATCCTAAGAAACTGGCTGCAGATGCCGTCCGATCCGTCCACTCAGACTCAACTGGCCTCTCGGTTTCCCTTGGGCTGTAGGACCGCCCAAATGCCGAGCAGAACTCCTTCCAGAGCGATGACCACTCCTCCCAGCAGTCTGCCGAGCTCCTCGTCACTGCGGACAGCCAACTGCAGGTGCCGAGGGACGATCCTGTCCTTCCGCTGTCATGAGCCGTGTTTCCTGCTAGTTCCAGGATCTCAGTGGTCAGGCACTCGAGCACAGCTGGCAGGTAGATGAGAATGCGTCCACATACCATCTTTTCAACTCATTTGAAATGTTGGGCTGTAGTTGAGATATTATTTGAGCTTTCGAGATGTTAATCAGCTGCTGTTGGTTGTAGAAAACTGCCTTGTTGCCATGGTTACGCATCGTAACAAATGTCCAAAACTAAAAAAAGTTTCAGTAAAAATCCTTCCAGCTGCACAGCATCTGATACCAGAGGAAACAATCATCCAAAAAAAAAAAAAAAGTGATTTACATCCAGAAAAAGAGGAATTAAAGTTTCCAAAAGCAAAATCTCAGAATGAAAGTAGCAGAGCTGCTCCAACATGCAGACACCTGGAGCGGCACGATTCTAGAACATATGCCTTCTTTAATTTTTTTAAATGTTTTATTTTAGTTTTTTTGTATTTTTTTTTTTTTTGACTAAATGATTAGTGAACGGTTTACAAAATCCATCCATCCATCCATCATCTTTACCCGCTTCTTCCTTTTAGGGTCACGTGGGTCACTGGTGCCCATGTCCAGCCATCACTGAGTGAGAAGCAGGGGACACCTTGGACAGGTCTCCAGTCCATCACAGGGACACATCCTGTAGAGACAAACAAGACAAACAACCATTCACTCTCTCACTCACACCTACAGACAATTTAGAGTTACCAATTAGCCCAACATGCATGTTTTTGGTCTGTGGAAAACCAAAGTACCCGGAGAAAACCCATGCATGCACGGAGAGAACATGCTCCACCCAGCAAGGTCCCGGGCCGGGATATGAACTGGCATGAAATAATCTGTCCCTTTGTTTAATTTGTCTTTATTTTTCTTTTCTGCTCGTTGTTCCTCTGTTTCCTGTCATTCTTCTCCCCCTCTCCAGCCGCTCATCACTCACACCAGACTCCAATCAGGTGCACTCATCTCTCACGTTGCCTCGGCCTTATTTAAACCTCTCCTGCTCACAAACGTCCGCTCACCGATGTGTAAACCTACAGACGTCCCGGTCCTCCTCACTCTGCTTGTTCCTGTTCGCCCCTTGCTCGTGTAAGTTTTGCGGCCTCGCCAGCCTTTTGCTTCGTTTGTTTAATGAATTCTTTTCGTTTAAACTCCTGCTCTCCTTGCCTGCCTGCATATGGGTCTGAAAACCGAGGATCGCGATATGGCAGCCTTCTCTCCGAGAGGCAACAGCTCTACCAACTGATCCACCGTGTCACACCGTTTATAAAATTCACTTCAATTAAAACGTCTTTTTGTTGGGATTTTTATCATTAAAATGGATTGTAGGATGTCATATGGTTTTTCTCTTTAGTTAAATGCTTGTTCTGATTGTTTTTGGACCCGTTGTGGTCACTGTTTGCTAAAACATGTTGTGTCGATCAGAGTCCAGCAGTCTTGATGGTACGTCACAAAATGTTCAACTAATTAAACTCCAAGCTGAGGATGACTTCTCTTTATTTAAAGTTGTGCAGAAAACAGCTGATGGATGGATAAGTCTGTAGGTAATTGAGATTATCACAAAACAAGTCACTATTAATTGAATTTAAATGTTTCTGAACGGTGTTAAAGTCAAAATAATATAGTTCAGATGCCTGAGGTCACGTTTACAGAAACATCAGCAGAACATCTGTCACATCGGCAGGTCAAACAAGCCAATCACAAAAACTTGTTGGGATACACGTTAAACAGCCGATCAGGATTCTTGTTTTACTGTCGTTTTTTTACCACACCACTTTGTGCAGGAGCTGAGGAGTTGGTGCTGCTGAGCATTCACTGCTGTTCCCGATGCAGCTGATTACCTTCTACCCTACTTAAGGCTGAAGTGAACCACAAGTCTTTAGTGGGCCGTTGTTTGCCACATAGTGACAGCATCCAACAACCTGAGTAGGAACCTGAGACATATTGTCTCTCACCTGTGTTATGAGTTAGACTTCATGTGCACCTACTGAGATCCTGCTACTACTCCGAGGAGATCTACAATCTGAGAGTCTCTCCAAAACCCAACAAGGAAACAAATAATCTGAACATCTCCATCACTCAGCCTGCCATGAGCCCTGCAGAACCACTCACCTGGAACATTCTCCTCAAACCGTGGAACCTGTATTCTCCATGGAGCTGTAATACAAAGAAAGACCAGTAAGAACTCATTCCTGGATCAAACGACTCGTCATAATTATGTCAAACCACCGAAGGACCGTGAACTCACCTTCTGTTTCCCTGCAGATCTGTCCTTTACCGGTCCCTTTCAACACTTAAAACAAAACCCACATTGTTTTTATCTTTATCTTTCCTCCTGTCACATCCTTTCAGTCCTTGGTGCTCTGAACTCTGGGTCAATATGAAAAATGTCAATCACCATAACAGATATTTAACAACAAGCATGAACAGAGGTCGTCTCTTTATAACTAAAGGAGCTGAAAGTGTATTATAGATTAAAAAACTTCAGTGTAGCTTTGAACGACTAATAAATTCCCATCTTCATTTCCAGTTATTAAGCTGATTTCAGAATTATTAATATTATTAATATTATTATTTTAGGATTCTTCCATTTGGTTCCAGCTTCGCACATCACAAACATTTCTTCAGTTTCTGCCAAGAACAAAAAAACTTTCCTCGACCTTCGTTGTTTTTGATCTTGATAGTGTGAAGGGGGGGTTCTGTGGCACACCCTTGATGACTCGGCATGTAGGAAACGTTGCACCGAACACAGCGAGGAGTTTTCCTCTTAAAACTGAAGTCGGGGGACAGAAAGGCAGGAAGTCCGGGCATTGATTGTGCTAATTTAATCCTCACGTGGAAGAGTTTTACTGTGATCCTCCCTCTGCTCCACATCCAAGCCTTCAGTTCTCTTTCCACCACAGAGGCCACCGGGTCATTACTGTAGGATCTGGGCCTTTAAGTTGCCATCATTGGGCTTAAATTCTTAATCCAGACAGTAACGCTAACGGAGAGCACAAAAACTGAACTTTCATTATTGGAGGAGTCATGAAAGAGACGTGGTGCAGGAGTTCTAGGAGTCTGCAGTTCCTCAGGAGTTTGTACACACGCTGAGGCCCAAGTGGGTTCTGGCCACTCGGATTATTGCCTCCCTTTTGTGCAAATGTGAGAAGGGACGAGGGGAGTTTATGGGGGATTGTGGGCGGAGGACAGCTGTGTGTGGGAGGGACAAGCAGACGGGGAAGGCTGGGGCTCTGATGGGGGTGGAGAACAGAAAGTGCTCTTGCTCTTAGGCTGCAGTGGAAAGTATGGCTGTGTGAAGTTTGTGAGAGCACGCAAAAAAAAAAAGGTAGACGGGGAAAAAGTGGCCTAACCGAACAGAAACGACGCGGATCGGATCAGATATGGAGCCTCAAAACAGCTGTTTCAACTCTGCTGGTCTGGATCCAAGAAGCAGGAGAAGAAGGACAAAGTAGGTGTAGAAAAGGGCTCGTCTGTACAAGAAGAAAAGATAAAGACTTGAACCTCCCAAGAAGAAGAACACACCAAGTTCAACCAGACAGACAGGAAGAGGGTGAGAAGCTGAGATGAGTGGCAAGAAATCAGAAGAAAGGCTCCAGATTAACGTTCAAACTGTGCTCAAAGAGAGCAAACCCAGGAGGGGAGGGCGGAAATCTGAAATAACAGACCCGTGAAGGTCACAGGAGGTGAGGGGGGGCACACAGGGAGGTCAGCAGGAGAGGACAAAGGTATGAGGGCACAGCTGCTCACCTGGATGATCATTCTCATCGTCTTGGGGAGCCTGCTGACCACTCTTGTCTGGTACACGGTGGACAACAGGTACGTTCTCTTTAATCCAGCAGAAGTCGGCAACACATCGTATGGATGAGTTCAAGAGTTGATCATGTGATGAGGAGACAGTCATGAGGAGGATGGTTGACTCAGGAGGATAATGCTGTCAGATGACTAACATCTCTGCACTTTTTCACCTTTGAACTCTGCTCTTTAAGTCCTTCATGCTCTATCCTCCAAATCAAATACAAACATTAAAGTCAGTATTAATAATAATAACTTCTACTACAAGAGAAATTTATGTGTTTTAAAATACAGCAAACACCCGTTTTGAAAGTTGTGCACTAATGTCTTCCATTGTTTGACAAGTCAAAACAAAGTTTTTTTGTTTTAATATAAAACAGAGAAGATTACCGTATTTTTTGCTCTATAAGTTGCAGTTTTTTTTGCATAATTTACAAGCCCTGCAATTTATACGACAAAGCGACGTATTTATGGATTTTTTCCCATATTTATAAACTAATGTTTGGCTGAGATGTGACCGTTTTCATTCATTCTGACTGAAAATATCAACCACTACCACTTTCAGCTACTAGATGGTAGCAGAGTAGTGTGGTATGCCGTTGTATCATGTAATTGGTAAAAGTGTCTATTAATGACACAATCGGCTTGCCATAAACTGACACTGTCGTCTGTCTGGAGCCACTGAATCAGCTTCATTTCGCTGCGCCGCCCCGGCGAAATGCAGCTGATTTGACCATTAAAGTGCATTTATTAATTAAAAGTTCAATGAGACGCACCTTTATTATAAAGTCGAACAAACAAATAATTGTTTTAGGTGGTTTTCTTGTTAAATTTTGAATAAATGGACAGCGAGTCGCCCTCTGCGTGTTCATGTTTCCGCGTATCGGCTTTTGAAATGCAGCTGATTTGACCGGCAAAGTGCATTTATTAAGGAAAAGTTAAACTGAGACACATCTTTACTATAATTTTGAGCAAACAAATAATTGTTTTAGGTGTTAATCTTGTTAAATTCTTGATTAAGTCCTCCCGTGCACTTTCCTGCAGCCGCCATTTGGCTGCCCATTGATTTTTGGCACAACACCGGTCCACATTTCCAGGTTGTCAGCGGTGATGCATAATGGATGTGATGTATACGACAAAGTGACATATTTATGGATTTTTACACTTTATTAGACATATTTGGACCGATGCGACTTATAGGGCGGTGCGACGTGTACGTTGGAAAATACGGTATTATGTTAATAGCTGCTTTTATGGTATAATAGTTAAAACAACAGTGCTTAGCTTCACTCGCCACCTTACATGCCAGACATTTAGACGTATATCTCATGTTGTGCTGCAGCTGTAATAAATAATATTTGTACTCTTTGTAATTTTGTGACATATCATGCTCAGATTAATTGTTGTGAATGACTCTCGGCTACTACCACGTCAAATTTGAGCTCAATATCTGTAAAACTGACTGAGATAAAGCCATTTTCTGTTTCAGTTAGCTGTAGAAGCCAACTTGAATTACTGTAGCTTAAGATCAATCACTTGTAGCTAAACGTCTAAATCAATTTCTGTAAGTTTTATTCAAATTTATTGAGTGGTTCCTGAGATGTTTTTGTAAGTGCACATGCATTCACACATCAAATAAACAGCCAGTTAATCTGAGCTGTGGATTAAAAATGATATTCGAGTCCGTTAATGATGCCTGTGTTTGTTTCTGTGTGAAGACAATGAAACAATTCCTGGATATTGTTGCTTATTAATTTGCTTATAGTCTAAGACAGGAACTTCTGAAATGTTATGTGCGGTTTAAACAGGAAGAGGAAACTACTGCAGAAGTCACGTAGAGGGAGGAAGTCTCCGAAAAGATTTGTGCATGATATTTTTCAACCTTTATTTAGACAGGTAAATTGGTGGTCATTATGAGCTCGTCTGTTTTTAGAAAAAGTTACATTAAGAACAGATTTCTGAACTAAATTATTCACTGGTAGCTTTTTTTAAATGCGTTGACTCATTTAGTTTGAGTCTTTTAATGTAAAACGATGCAGAACAACTGGTCCATGCATTTGTCACGTCTAGACTGGACTATTGCAATGGTTTATTAACTGGGTGTCCAAATACGTCTTTAAAACGTCTTCAGTTGATCTAAATTGCTGCTGCCAGAGTCTTAACTGGAGTTACTGGGAGAGATCATATCTCTCCAGTTTTAGCTTCTCTCCATTGGCTCCCTGTCAAATCCAGAATTGAATTCAAAATCTTACTTCTAACCTACTGTACAAAGCCCTCAACAACCTAGCTCCATCTTATATTCGAGATCTTATTATTCCATATTTTCCTAACGGAGCACTTCACTCTCAGGCTGCAGGTTTACTTGTGGTTCCTAGAGTTTTCAAAAGCAGAATGGGAGGAAGATCTTTCAGTTCTCAGGCTCCTCTCTTGTGGAACCAACTTCCAGTTTCTGTCCGTGAGGCTGACACATTGTCCAGTTTTAAGACTTTTCTTTTTGATAAATCCTATAGTTAGGGTTGGGTTGTCATGCTGCTGTAGGCTTTGACTACTGGAGGACAAATTGACTTCATTTCCTTAAAGGAATGGTTAAAATTGAATAGTTTTCATTTGATACTTTTTCTATATTAGCATGATTCTTGACCTGCCATTGTGTATCTATTCCTCTCAAACCCAGCTGGTCAAATCAGATGGTCCTCTTGTCCTGAGCCTGGTTCCGCTAAAGGTTTCTTCCTCATGAGGGAGTTTTTCCTTTCCACTGTCGCCTTCATGCTTGCTCAAGATGAGAGTTCTGTGATGGAGTTAAACTCAAAGCTGCTCCTCAGATAAATAATGTTAAATTATTATTTTCACATATGAATGTTTCTGTTCAGTGTCCTGAGACGACTTCTGTTGTGACTTGGCGCTTTATAAGTAAACCCCACGTTGAGCCAAAACTGCTTTAAGATTGATTTTCTCCTCAACAAACAACAACCTAAAGGCAGGATTTTGCTGATCTCGCTCCTCTCCTATTGTCACAGTAATGTTGAGCCTCGCCACAAGAAGCCGGAGAAGAAAAACAGCCCTCAGTCTCCTGCGTCGTGTAAGGACTGCAGGTAGGAACAAGCTGTCTCCGCTCCTTTTACAGTGGCCTTTCTCTTTACTGTAATCAGACATTCCAGCACAAGGGATTACACCTCACTCCTGGATGTATTTATTCATTGCAGGGAGGACATAAAGAACGCGTTAAAGCTTTACTCTCAGGCTTGGAAGAAAGAAGACGACAATTACCAAAAATTCAGGTAAGGATGTTCTTGACCGTGTCTGTTTGATCAAACGTGAACTGTCCAGTTAACGCATAACGTGAATCAGTTTGTGAAACTAAATGTGAAACTCAAAGAGTGCTTTTGATAGAAGAGGAAGATCAACCACAGACTAAAAAGGAGAAGCTGAAACACAAAACATGGACAAGACAGAAGTGGGCTAAAATTAGCCTCTTAGGTTCCCGGCAGGTTTTATAAACTGCTGGATTTCTCAAGAAGTAGTTACCTTAGATAATGTGCGTGTCTAGATGATTAAACCAAGCAGGTTTTTGTGTTCAGCAGCTTTGCTGACTGAGCGGCTTCGGATGTTATCAGCCCATTAAATGGCCGTTATTAGTTATCATCCCCATATGTAGCGTACCTACCTCCTAGTAGGTTTAAAGGTACGTTATTATTGTTATTATTGCTGATAATAGTCAGCGTCACACGGGGGTAAACCAGGAAGTGTTTTTTTGTTTTTTTCAGCTTATGTAACCCTTTTCCTAAACGTAAGCTTACACCTGACCCTGAGGACCAACCCTAAACTTAACCCCTTACCCTTGTGCCTAAACCTAACCAAGACCGTAAACCTAACCGCCAGACCCTTTACTGTAAACCTAACCATGTGAAGCTATTATGAGCAGTAACAAAGGTAAAAACAGGGCCTATTATCATCGCTAACAACTAAATAAATAAACTAAATAAACTAAATAAATAAACTAAATAATAAACTAACTAAATAAAGTCCAGTTGTTTTTGTATTGTACGCTTTTTGAATTCATCATGTCCTGGATAACTGAGAATCTTCACCAGCATATCGCTAACAACGTACTTTTAAACCCACTAGGAGGTACAGGAGGGGCAGACTGACCACTACATATAGAGATAACAACTAATAACGGCCATCCCTTAACAAGAAGTAGTACATTTGAAGTTCATTTTTGCTAGTACGTATACTTTAAGTTAAGTATAAGTATATCAAGTATACTTTAAGTTAACAATAAGTATATCAAGTATACTTTAAGTTAAGTATAAGTATATCAAGTATACTTTAAGTTAACAATAAGTATATCAAGTATACTTTAAGTTAAGTATAAGTATATCGAGTATACTTTAAGTTAACAATAAGTATATCAAGTATACTTTAAGTTAAGTATATCAAGTATACTTTAAGTTAAGTATAAGGATATCAAGTATACTTTAAGTTAACAATAAGTATATCAAGTATACTTT